ACGAAGTTTGGAAACAAATTGTTTTTTCTTTCTTCTTATTTTTCTTCTTTCTGGGTACATTTTTTATAAACAAGTGATCTCGTTAACTACTCATCCCATCTAGGTCACTCAGAAACCTTTTTTGGGTCACTAGGCATGTTATGTAGATTTTCAGAACGAAGGTCATTTTGCGCGCACATGTGCATGTCCATGCACGTGTAACGTGAAATTACCAAAATAACTGATATAGCCATTACTTTTAATTTTTTTATGAAATGCTTTGAAATTCATAATATAAGGATATATTAGTAGTGTAGACATGATCACATGGTCAAAATAGCATGAACTCATGCACACGCACATGCACTTCACTCTGATTGGCTGGAACAAAAGTCTCCATTTCTTTCTTGTTTTTTGACAAAATACTTATCATAGTTATACATTAGGAGGTTCTACAGCATGATATAAGAGAAAACACATACATACAACTGAGCTGAAATCTGATTGGCTAAAACTTTAAATACCTAAAACTTTTTTGATCTCAATAAAATAGGATGAAATTTGATTATGAATAGGTGTGTTGAATTCCTAGACTATGCTATTATCGAAATTGAATGCAAGGATGTGCAGACGCAAACACAATGCATAAAACCACCAATATACTTGACTGTTTGATGTTCATGAAGAATTAAGACCTTCTAAATGTCATTGGTATCCTCAATAAAATGTTGATATTAACTATTTACTCAAACGACCTTGACCTTTGAACTTGAAAATTGACCTTGGTCTTTGACTTTGACTAAAGGGTAAAAAAAGAAATATGAAGTACATGTATCTAGAAACAGCTTTCAATCAATCTTTTAAGTTCTTCGAGTAAGAAACAAGATTCAACTCCCACTTTAAATAGGTGAATAGTAAAATATGCCCACCCCCCTTCAAAAAAAATAAAAATAACAGCAATGTAGATAATCTCTGTGAAACTAAAACAACACCTCAGATCGACACAAAATTTCAAGGGAATTGCAAAAAAAAGGCTCCAAGAAAGTGTTCGGAAATTTTTAATGGTGAGTTTCCAAAGAATATAGAAATTATGAATTTATGAATTTATACGGAAATAATTACAAATTCTGTCCTGTTTGAAATTAAAGTGCAGATGAACAAATATGTAATATAAATCTTTTATAGCCAACTGACAGACAACAGCAAAGCAATTTGCCTCCCTTCTTTGAAGGAGGGCATTATAAAAATTTTTTTTTCATAATTTATAAATGTACATGTATATTGGATTTCTACTTATTATTACACTATATGTGCATATTATACAACATACATGTACTTACTCAAAATCTCTACAATATATACTAAATTTTATAACAAAATAATTTCCATTTAGATATTCAAAAGTTGGATTGTTGGACCATCCATACTGTTCTTGTATTACGCTAAATACAAAACACTTTACAAAAATATCATGACATATGAAAAACTTACCCATAATCCACCATTTTGCGTGACATCACAACCTCTTTTTCCACTGGTTTACGTGGTGCAGGTTTATCACAGAAGTCACTTCCACCAAACATATACCACACAATGGTCAGTTCCTTCAGAGTGTACCTGTACTCAGCGCTGGGATAGTTGTCGGGGGCCTTCAATAAATCTGTTTTACCATGTGGCTGACTGAAATAATTATCCTTTATTTCTATAGGTTCATCTGTAAAGATCTTCACTTCTGGTCTTCCATCCCTTGGCTAAAACATGGAAGAAACATGGGTGAAAGTTGTATGAAGGCAGTGTTCCTCAATGTGCAACAACAATTTTGCTTTACACACTACACATATACCAATTATATAACTATTTTTCTTGAAAAGCTGTGTCTACAAAACCAGAAGTCTCTTTCAAGACTGTAGCTCAACTGGTTTGTACTTATAACAAAGGAAGAGAAAAGTGGCCATTGGGATTTGAAACTTTACAGCAGCAATGAATTTATAATAATGATGATTAAATTTAGACATTTTGAAATGTGCCATGTTATATTGAAATCAGATCCAAATCCATGGGCACATAGTTTCAGCTTTTTTGGCCCAGTGGTTTTAAAGAAGAATTTCAAAGATTTTTCCTATAAATTTCTATGTTTTGAACCATGGCAACACCGTTCATCAAAACCAAAAACCGATGAATTAAATTATGTATCTTAATGTAGTCTACTTGTGTGCCAAGTTATATTGAAATCAGACCAAAACTGTAGGAGGAGTAGCATTTTGAAAAATTGTTTACAGACAGATGGACAGACAGCTAGACAGACGGACGGACGACGGAAACCTTACTATCGCATAAGCTCTTCTGGTCTCTGACCAGTAGAGCTAAAAATCTAACCTTGATTCAACATCACATCATACTAATAATGATACGATATTTAAAATTCATTTCAATTCGAAGGATTCAAAAGTTATTGCTGGATATATTTTTTGGATACCAGACAGATGAACAGACAAACAAACAAACCAATTCTTCCAAAAGAGTTAATTTGTTAATTCTTTTTCTTTTAATTTTTTCCAATTTATTTTCAAACTTAATTGACCCTTGACTAAAGAACTGAGCAACTTCCAGTGGGACCCTAACCCCTATGCTCATCAAACCCTTAACAAAAATTTTCTTCCTATACATACAGCGATGCCTAGCCCAGGGTCATCAATGATACAGAAATCCTCCTCCTCATCGCTGAAGATATCAGTCCTCTCTGACACCGCGCTACTGGTCACCGACTCAGCGTGGGCCGTTATCACAATCGGTCGCATCATCCCCGCCGGGGGGACCTCTGTATCCGTCAGATCTCCAGGGGGGACAAAGAACACCTGCGTTTTGTTTGGACTTTGTTTAGAGTTTTCAGATCCATCTGAAAGAGAAATAAAATGAACATGATGAGTCCATGTTCTCTATGGTCATGTATTTCACTAACTTCAGATAAAAGACTTTTCTGCTTTTATTAATAATAAAATTTATACTCCTTTTGGAATGGTGCAATTAAATTTTTCTTACCAGATCTATTTTAAACCCAAAAGTATAAGCATAGCATTTGAATATCTGATTCAAATGGAATTCCATTTTCTAAACAGGATTAATTACTAGAACAAGACAGGACTTACCATTATCTGATCCCGATCCAGATTCCTGCATGGCGTCCTCCAGATGACTAGAAAGATTCTCCAGTCTTGATTCACTCAGATCCTTTTTCTTGGACTCTTCCTCAATAGACTTAAAAATTCACAACATAACACTAAGGCATGCATTTATATCTTGATGTTTATAGAGTTAACCTCAAGGCCTTTCAAGAGTTTATAAAATTAACTCTTATAATGAAATACATGTAGAATTGATTCTTGTATTTTTTAACACAAACATTTTTTTAAACATTATACCAGAATTTCACCATTCTTATTTACTCCACCACTTTCTAATCATTAAAGCTGGCATTTTATTCAATACATGTACAAACACATGAAATAAAGCCCTACCTCTTCTTGTGACATCATCTCCAGATCCAGACTCTGTTGCTTTATGTCCGTCTCCTCATGCTCCTTCAGGTCTCCATCATTGGCGAAGTATCGGATCAGTTCAAACAAGGCTTTACAGGAATCGGAGCAGGTCCTCAGGTTGATCCTGTTTGTCCGCAGTCGGAGGTCTGTCTTGGGAAACTTCTTGTCTTTACCGTCACTGCTCCTCAACTCCAGCTCAAAACTCTCCACATCCAGCACACACACATAATCTATATATACAGAAAAATTAAGCTATATAATTCATAATGAACACTCTGAATCTCTGCACAAAACCAATACAGTCAAGCCTTAATTGTTATTCCAAACTTGGTGGGGCCAGGGAAAAATCTTTGAGATTACCTTTCTTAAGATTAATAGCAGCTTCTCTACATTTCTTCTGAGACAAATACATTCCAGCATCCTCCAACACAAATCTGCAAGTATCAGAAAAGTGTACTTACATGAGTCAAATCTACATGTAGATTAATTTTGTAAAAATAAGAACATGCACATGAAAGGCATCTAGATAATTTTGAATGTATCTTTATACATATACCGTACTTTCTTTCAGGAATACAAATGTATAAACACTTTTAAACAGTATGTATTTATATTATTTTGTTGAAAACATTATGTGTACCTAAGAAGTGAGGTTTGTGAGTTGGCCACTATATTACTGGATATACTGAAGTAGTTAGCTGTCACAACTCCTCTGGTGGGTATATGTAGTGGTCTGAAAAGAAATTAAAAATTAATGCCATTTTTGGTAACCCCTCATTAGTTATGACACAGAGTTATTCACCTAAGAAAATTATTATCTTTAATATTTTTAAACTCTGATTTGGTATTAGAAAAAAAAATCTAAAGAAAATATTACAACATAAATGTGTATTTGCATGTAAGTACATGTATACTCATTTAATCATTTAAATATCTCTTTATTTTTCCAGCCATCCATCAACACTGGTTACTGGGGGGGGTTAAATTTAGAAATTAACCTTTACCTGTAGTCTACACCACAATCCCAGAGATGAACATGCAGCTCTGTCAAAACTTTGGGAGTAACGTAACCCAGGATATCATAGTCCTTCACATCTAGGAAATCCATCATCTGTAATATACAAATGAAGAATGAGCTGAACAAGTTCCACAATGAGTAAACATTTTACAAGTTAGGATATTTTTTTTTTCATAAGAGTTATAATATTATACATGCAAGTTAAATTCACTTTCAAAGCACATGCGGTATATAAATTAATGTACAAAATTCCTTATTTTTAGCAGAAAATACATACAGTACAGTGAAGCAATACATTATATTTATATGAAAATCTCAGAAATCCTAGGTGAAGAAGATCAGTAAAAAGAATCTTTGTAACAAATCAAACCCAGCTTCTCTCTAACCTGTGAGATCCAGCTCATGCCTGTATCAGCCATCTTGTGTCTCAGTGTGGCTCCTGTTACCCCAACAGCTACTGTGAATTCCTACAACAAGAAGGGAAATTGTAATGAAAATAATTTATACTGTCTAAACTGTACACTATGATTTGACTGACCCATTTTTTGTTGCTAGTCCAAAAATCATCCTGCCATTAAGTCTGCTCTTCTTATGACCTCTCAACACATTGATAACATTTATACTTATTAACATTCCAATTGTTCATCACCCTTCCCCCCTTCAAGATAGGAGAGCAGTACTGATATTTGACTGACCCATATTCTATGATACACTAATGAAGCATGCTTCTGACCTTGATTTTCTCGTCCCTGGTCAGGTCACTGAGTGGCGTGGAGTCCAGTTTTATTTTGATGGCTACTGACACCATGTCCCTGACCTCTGACTCGATATCCCCGGTCTGGTGACACTGTATACCAGGCTCAGATCTGTATATAATACAACAGTTCTCCAGGTGGGCAGGGATCGTCTCAAAGTCTAAGTTTCTTACTTCAAATTCTTCCTTTTTATCTGGTACAGCAGCTACAAAATCATAAAATTGTATGTTTCATGGGCCGAGTTTAGATATGCTCCATTTTAAGGCATGGTGAAATAAACTTTTTATATTCAGATCAATTACCTTATACTTTATCTACTGCATAATGCATATTTTTGACAAATAATCATAATGCTCAATAAATTTATTACATGAAATTTTTTCACTGGCTAATCACTGTTTAATGTTTCATAGGATTTCATGTTGATATCTTTCTGAGGTATGAACATAAAAGCTAGGTTAAAAAAATATCAAAGAAAACATTCTGGAACTTTCATCTTTACAAAAAATTTCGAACTTGGTATTAGCAATAACATACCATTATGATACAGTGTAGCCTTGTTACAGTAAAAACAAACATATTGAAGAAGTGGATTTCCTTGGTAACTGGATGCAACAAACAGATTGGCATCCTTAACGATACCCATGACTTCACCATGAGACTCCTCCACCTGGAAAATTTGGCAACAAAAATTATCCATAAATACCCCAGGTAGACTCAATTCAAATACCCAGGTACATGGGTTTAAATTTTTGTAGCAATAATAATTAGAAAGGAATAGCTAAATGTTTTCTACAACACTATGATAATACAGGTACTTGCTATATGCATGATATAAGTCCAACTTAGCTAATAAATCCCTTATTTTTCTATACCTACCTTAGAATCAGTAAGTGCGGTTATTTTCCCTTTGTCTATTTTAAGTGACAGACACAGTTTACTGGGACGGGATTTCTGGTTCGCTGTCCGGCGAGGATGTCTGCTGTCATGGATACTATAGTAACCAAAGCTACTATCCTCCTCCTCTTCTGAAGAGTCTTAAACATAGGTAATCAGAGATTACAGAGCTCATCTCAACGAATGTTGTCTTTAAGTAAGGCAAAGTCACACAATTAACCAACAAAAAGTATACATTCCAAAAATGAAAATATTTTTAAAAGCAATTTTGATCCGATACTTTGAAATAGACCTACATAAAAAATTTAAACTACTTCTTCTTCATGAAAATGTAATGAAAATCCAGCATCTGAAGCAAATTTGAGAGTTTTCATCTCTTGATGCAGCATTTGTGCAAGTTTGGTTTATACAATTTTATATAAGCCTTATAGTTTTTGGTAATAGACCTGCAACCATAACTTTTACCTTGTCTATTATCTGAAAAATGTATGTCCAATTCAGCATCTGAAGCAAGTCCATTAGTGTGCATCCTTAGATGTATCATCCATGCAAGTTTGCTCATTATAGGGCTCATAGTTTATTGGAAATGAAACATGCATCAAAACTAACATTTTCACTCATCCTCAAAAAGTAGGTCAGATTCAGCATCCGAAGCAAGCCTGGAAGTATGCATCCTTAGATGTATCATCTATGCAAGATTGGTCATTAAAGAACTCATAGTTCCTTGGAAATGAAACCTGCACCAAAAACTTTTAACTAATCACTCAACCGTAAAATGTAGGTCAGATTCAGCATCCGAAGCAAGCCTGGTAGTGTGCATCCTTAGATGTATCATCCATGCAAGTTTGGTCAACATAGGGCTTAAAGTTACTTGCAAATGAAACCTGCACCAACAACATTAACCTGTTCGCTCAACTGGAAAATGTAGGTCAGATTCAGCATCCGAAGCAAGCCCGGTAGTATGCATCCTTAGATGTATCATCCATGCAAGTTTGGTCAACATAGGGCTTATAGTTACTTGGAAATGAAACCTGCACCAAAAACTTTAACCTGTTCACTCAACTGGAAGATGTAGGTCAGATTCAGCATCCGAAGCAAGCCCGGTAGTATGCATCCTTAGATGTATCATCCATGCAAGTTTGGTCAACATAGGGCTTATAGTTACTTGCAAATGAAACCTACACCAAAATTTTAACCTGTTCACTCAACCGGAAAATGTAGGTCAGATTCAGCATCCGAAGCAAGCCCGGTAGTATGCATCCTTAGATGTATCATCCATGCAAGTTTGGTCAACATAGGGCTTATAGTTACTTGGAAATGAAACCTGCACCAAAAACTTTAACCTGTTCACTCAATCGGAAAATGTAGGTCAGATTCAGCATCCGAAGCAAGCCCGGTAGTATGCATCCTTAGATGTATCATCCATGCAAGTTTGGTCAACATAGGGCTTATAGTTACTTGGAAATGAAACCTACACCAAAAACTTTAACCTGTTCACTCAACCGGAAAATGTAGGTCAGATTCAGCATCCGAAGCAAGCCCTTATATGCATCCTTAGATGTATCATCCATGCAAGTTTGGTCAACATAGGGCTTATAGTTACTTGGAAATGAAACCCACACCAAAAACTGCACCAAAAATGTTAACCTGCTCCAAAAACATTAACCTGGTAATTCCTTTGCTGAAATTGCAGCATCTGAAACTTTGTCTGGTACAATAAAACACACTAAAACCATATTCCATGCATGTCTAATCAGTATAGGACACAGAAGTAATTAAAAAGAAAACTGCTCCAAAAAACTTAACCTGGGACGCCGATGCCGACGCCGACACCGACACCGACGCCGACGCCGAGGGTATCACATAAGCTCCCCCCAACTTCGTTGAGGTGAGCTAAAAATAGTATACAGAAATATATTGTCTGGTATATTCTCTATTTCTTAAACAAGTGTTATGTGATGAATGTACCCTAAGAAAACAATTTCTGCTATTTTGCAATGCAATTTTTTTTTTAAATTTAAATTGATCAACAACTTGAATTACTTATCAAGCAATATTTAATACACAGATCCAAATTTCTGGATGAAGATGAAACTTGATCCACATTATAATGACAGTGCTACAAAATTTGGCTGTAAGGCCTAATGGAAATTTACTATCAATGACTTAAGTCAAAACAATATTTTTTCCTTATAAAATTGTCTTACCATATTGTATGGCTGACTTTGCCAATGAGAAGTTCTCCTGAAGCACCTGGGTGTAACAGCTAAGGTCAAAAGGTTGTATAGACCCATGACCCTGATCCTGTGTGTGGATTGGTGATGGGGCCATTGGTTCCCATAGTAACAAGTCATTGTTTAACCTGCAACAGACATTGTAAACATATAGAATTACATATGATAGTGAAATGCAATTGTAGGAATATGCTTATACATGTAGTTGCATCTTTCTACAGATGTATTTTCTGACTAAATATTCTACTGATAATATTTTTAAAATAACATACTCTTCAAAATGAAAGAAAACTTACCTAGCTATTCATATTACTTTTTTAATACCGGTAGGTTTGATATGAATTATCTTCAATGGCAAAGAAAAAAAATGAAAATATTTTACTGTTGCTTAATACATTTACCTATTATACAAAACTTCAAAGAACTTCTGGTCTGGAATGTACAGATTGACGAGGGGTAAAATCAGCTGGACCAGGGTAAGACAACTGGAGGAGGCTCTCTCCTGGAAGTCAGCCATGTCATCTCTACTGCCAGGCATCACCATCTGAAGGGAAGGGACAACGGGTTATAAATCAAAACTGAGAGGATTGACTAAAATTGAACTGACAGATTATAAAATAAAGGACAAGTAAAAAAAATAAATGTGGAAGAATTAGGGGAAATTACGGTAATCTACTCCTATTGAGAATGGAGCAATATGCCATGCTTTTATGTTAAATACAGATATGCACACAGATGAAAATGTAAATGTAAATCCCCTGATAGAAGAAATTTCAGAAAGAGACTTCAGATTTATGGTGAAATGGAATATATGTAACTATGATACATATATATACACATGAATCTTTCCCAGTAAATATCAAATTTTTGATACACATTGTACAATCTGTCAAATCCACATTCTGGCACTTAGAAACTGAAAAGTATAGGTACAAAGCTGATTATCAACAGAATTACTTATAATTGTTAGTTATATGGAATGTACATGTATAAAACTGCACATGTAATTGCATGTATCAAATTAGTCAAAAAGCATAATATAGTAGTTATTGTAAATGGACATATCTAGTAAAATACATGTATTATATATACATATCGGTATGTATTTAACAAATGAAATGGCCTACTGTTCTTGTCTTTGTTATTTCTGCTATTTCAGAGGGAAAGGGTATTTCCCAAGATGTCTAAAATAATAAACATAAACCATAATCTTTTCAATCTAGAATCTAAAAATCAAAAGAGCTCTCTACTTTTTTTTTTACATATCACATATCTTAATTTATTGTTTTGTTTACTTTTATAAAGTGTTGACGTCTGGCAGATAATTTTTTTTTTGATTCAGAATCAATTTAAGATTTTACCAAACACTAAACTTTATTTTTTTAAACAGTGATCCATTTATTAACAATATGGCACCAAAGAGTTAAAAAAGTTGATTCAGCTAGTATTTTATTCGCACAATCTACAGAACTTTCTCTACTAAAAACAGCCATTCTTTCAAAACAAATTGTTTTCAAATACCTGTAAACAGATTTTGTGAAAAATTCTTTTTTACTATAAAAATAGGCAAAACTAGATGCTGTCATGAGACAGTAATACCCGCACTATGGTGTTTGCCTCTAAATACACACTCCTTCATATTGGACTTTCCAAGGAAGAAGTCAAAATAATTCTATAATTATCACCGTACATGTATTCGTCAAATTGAACATAAAATTTTCAGGTGACCATATATGAGCCTCACATTTTGAATACTTAATTCATTACCAGTCTGAAATAACAGAATTTAATTAATGATTGAAGTAAATTACTTAATTAGATTCAGATAAATATTTTGCCCATAATTTGGAACTTTTTAAATTTACTTTCTCAACGACATATTATTTTAGTAATAAGCGTTTTTGATGAATTTATCAAAATGTGCAAACTGATTTTAGTACTTGGTCGGGAAAAAAACCCGTTGAAAATACAACCCGATTAATTTGTCAATGCCTATCTCCCCCCCCCCCCCCCCCCCAACACACACACTCCCTCACCCTCACATTTTTTAAAAATAGACCTAGATGGCAAAGTTATGTTAAAACATAGTTTATTATGATAGTTTGAAATTTGTTCTTGTACTAAACAGTTTTACGTGTGAACATCTTATTTTCTACATTCACAGTGGGTTTGCGTCACCCATTATCATATTTATAGATATCACCTCTCGGCACACCTCGGCCGATTCATACTGGCAACGGAATCAGCAAAGGTTTGTCGAATGAGATTATTTAGCACATGTATGCTGACGATGCAGTGTGGTCAGTTAAAATCATTTGTGTTTTAATTGGATTATATGGATTATATTTCATGAATTCGTTGTCACGACCTATGACATTCGGTAAGTACAAGATTTAGTATAGATTGCATAAAAATAAATAAATGCAAATGGTTAGGTTGAAGTTCAAAAAGGGTCAAAGATCATCGCATGCCACAGTCGACAAATTTCACATTGTCAAGTTATCTCCCGTTGCGGACATTCAGTATATACAGGCGCAAATCCAGAATTTTTTTTTCAGAAAGGAGAGGGGGGTGTCACACCTCAGTCAAAAAAATCAGCCCAAGATTTCCTGAGAAGCAAATAAAAAATAATAATAATAACAACTAGATACGATCTCGTTGCGAGCAACGAGAGGTCTTCCGTCCGATTCAGGAAAAAAAACCTAAAATTAAGCTGAAAAGTGATTCAAAATTTTGGTCACAAGGAGGATTGAACTCAGGTCGCCAACGTGAATGCACTTTTTTTTCTCTTTTATCCCTAACGCACATACCATTATGCTATAATTTGGAGCACTGCTCTAAATATACTTTTGTATACTTTTGCAACAGTACATTTGTCTAAGAATTATAAAAGGCGGACCACTATTCATAATTTCGCGCTAAACGCCACGAGTAAATATTCGCGCCTTTTTTTTGGACTGATCTATCAAATAGGTGTGATAGCTTCAATGCAATTAAATAAATAAAACGTTCTTATGGCTTTATTTTATTTCGACGTTAAGAAAGTATATTTAACACATTTTACACATTCCATATCGTATTTAGCCCAGTTACACTAAAGCAGTGAAACGGAAATTAAGTTTCAAGATTGACACTCAATTGCAACGTACTACTACCTGAAAGTCCAGGTAATTTTTCACATTTCATGTATCCTTATGTCAGAATGGTTCAATCAAACGCTCAGTTGCCTCCATAAACCCCTACTCGTGAAATGGCGAAGTAGACAGAGACAGCCGCCATCTTGGGCCCGCTTCAGATTTTCAAATATTAATATCTAGAGTTCAGATTAACCAATACTAAAACAACTTATATAGTAAGCATCAATGGAAAGGTCACTATTAATATTCCAAAAATAAATGAAAAATATTGAAGAACAAAAAAGTTAGAAAATGCACTTTTTTAAATTCGCATCTCCTAACGACAGGAAGTATTGACGACGAACGAAAGGTCGCGTCCTGGATAGTGAATATCACGATCTATAATCCCTGAAAGTTTCATGTTGATATCTTCTACCGTTCTTGAGATTAACCGTAGACAAAATGTCATTTTAAATTCAGAAAATGTCCCGTAACTTGGCACCAGAAGAGAATTTTCAAAAAATCTCTCTGAAAAAATAACTTCAGATAACAACACATAATTTCTGTAAATTTCATGAAAATCACCCAGTAGTCTTGAAATCGCGTGCACAAAATTTAGTGTACGGAAAAATAATAATAATAATAATAATAAGAAACAATAGAATCACTAAAGGTCTTCCGTGAAGATGGAAGACCTTAATGATGGTGGAGTCCCTGTTTTCTAAGGGGGAGGATGTCCAAAGTCATTTTTATTCTCTACAGTACTACAGTACATAGTCTTATTTAAATAACTGCTACATTGTAATTCCATGGGGGGGGGGGGGGGGTGTCTGATCTCCCTAGCCACTGACTCCCTGTACCTGAAATGACAATTGATCTTATGACTCCATAATAGTAGAAAATTTTTTCATTTGACTATATATACATATTTTGTTTCCTATGTTTATGTAATAAACTATTATATTATATATTATATATTATATATTATTTCATAGGTAAATTTCTTTTGGCAAAACCTTTTAATGGGTACCACCAATTTTGACCTCTTGATCTCTTGACCTTGGAGTTTGACCCACTTTAACAAGAAAAATACCTTAAACTTGGCCTAAGTTTTGAACAGGTGGTGCTAGGACTTTCATGCTCTAACATGTGTAATCATTGTGAACTTTCAACAGGTATAATTATTTTTGACCTAGACCTTAGAGTTGAACCCAATTTAACTTTAACCTTGGCAATAACTTTTGAACAGGTGAGGAAGTTCTAGGGATTTCTCTCTTTTTTCACATGTGTATTCCTTGTGACAAGACTTTCCCTTCGATACCAACAATTTTGACCCTTTGACCTTGACCTTGGAGTTTGACTTACATTTGAGAAACTTCAACCTTTGCGAAAAGCTGCCATAACAGTTGCTGTCACAACAAACAAACAAATTACTAAAAAAACACAGTATACATGTACATATTTTATATTCAACAGATATACATCTGGTCATATCTCTAGTTCTCCCTTGAATGAGACATGGTGATATAAATTTTAAAAAATAATTATGATAAGAGTTGAAAAGGTTGTGCACATTCAAATATACTAAACTCTGCGGATGAATTAGATATACCAGTTTAGATATATCAGTTTAGCTTAATTTTGCTACCCAAAGCACCTTGATTAACTATTTATAAGCATACTGTTTTCTGAAATGTACTGATTTCTGTTGTCCATCTGTTTGTCTGCAAACTTTTCACATTAACTTCTAAAGAACCACTGGGCCAATTTCAACCAATTTACATTTAAATATGCAGGGGACTTTTTCCAACATAAATCTTCTTCTCAAGAACAGCAAAGACATTTATTGTCCCCCATTTTCGCTAAGGTAGGGTACATTAAATCTCATTTGTTTGTCAATCTGCCCATCTGTCACAAAAAATTTAACTTTGCAATTGGTCATCATGGTCGTATATTTTGAATGAGAAGAGACAGGACTTTTATATTAAACATGTGTATTAGTATTAAATGGGACAATACCATTCTAAATACACTATGATTTTTATTACCCATGATCTTGAAGTTTGACCTAATTTCATAAACAAATTAATTGCTTTGAATTAATCATTTTGAAAGATAAATGAAAGGGCATTCATATTACCTGTGATAAGACCTTTCCAAATGTATCGTGACTTTTTGACTCTGTGACCTTGACCTTGAAGTTTAACTTAGTTTTCATTAATGTTGTATTTCCTTTTCATTGAGAAGAGAATCGACTTTCACATTTCAAGTGAACATTACCAATAACAAGATGTTTCCCAACATGCTATGATTTTTTACCCCTTGACCTTGATGTTTTAACAAAATTTCAAAAGAGTGAACTCTCCCGAAAGAGGATAAGACCACTGTTTAAAACGAAAAAGGAGTTTAGGGAAGACTGGGCTTTTTCCATAAAAAACGTCATTTTTCGACCCTCATTTGACCCCCCGGGCAAAATCAAAATTCCGAAACCTAACTGCACATCTACATGACCCCACCAACCATCTCCCAAAAGATGATTAGGCTGCTGAATAAAATGTAAGAGGAGTTCAGGGAAGATGGGGCTTTTAGCATAAAAAACATCATTTTTCGACCCCCATATGACCCCCTGGGGCAAAATCAAAATTCAGAAACCTTACTACACATCTGCATGACCCCACCAACCATCTCCCAAAAGATGATTAGGCTGCTGAGTAAAATGTAAGAGGAGTTCAGGGAAGAAGGGTCTTTTTGTATTAAAAAACATCATTTTTCGACACCCATTTGACCCCCCAGGGCAAAATCAAAATTCCGAAACCTTACTGCACATCTACATGACACCACCAACCATCTCCCAAAAGATGATTAGGCTCCTGAGTAAAATGTAAGAGGAGTTCAGGGAAGACGGGGCTTTTAGCATAAAAACATCATTTTTCGACCCCCATTTGACCCCCCGGGGCAAAATCAAAATTCCAAAACCTTACTGCACATCTACATGACCCCACCAACCATCTTCCAAAAGATGATTAGGCTGCTGAATAAAATGTAAGAGGAGTTCAGGGAAGACGGAGCTTTTTGCTTAAAAAACGTTTTTTTTTGACCCCCATTTGACCCCCTGGGGCAAAATCAAAATTCCGAAAGCTTACTGCACATCTACATGACCCCACCAACCATCTCCCAAAAGCTGGTTAGGCTTTTTAGAAGGACAGGGAAGACGGGGCTTTTTGCATAAAAAACAATATGGCCCCATTTGACCCCCCGGGGCAAAATCAGAATTCTTAAATCTTACTGCACATCTACATGACCCCACCATCCATCTCCCAAAAGATGATTAGACTACTGAGTAAAATGTAGGAGGAGTTAATGGAAGAAAAGTGTGACAGACGGACGGACGGACAGACGGACGGATTTTGTGAGTAACAAAATTCTTTTTTCTATAAAAGTGCGGGTATAAAAATTCAATTGATGTACATGTGAAGAAAACTAGTTCATAAAAACTTTACCCAAAATAGTGGGGGGGGTGTTTGTGCATGCATTAGAAAATCAAGCTGGCATAAAAAAGTGGCATAATACACAAAATCTGTCCCACACATCTATATATACCACAGAACAAAACTTAACATATCACAGTATTGTTGACAGTTAAGTAGGTTGGGGGGGGGGGGGGGCAACAAATTAACCACCAGATTTGACTTATTTTTTTTTAGATACGATATCTTTAGCTGTCAGCTATCATTTGGCAAAGAAAAATTTCAAACATTTTAGTTTTAAAATCTTAACATTTTTGTATACTGTAGACATCCTATTTTCCACGGGGTCATAATTCCGCGGAATCTCGATTTCTGTTTAATCCGAGGGTGGAAAATTTCGCAGATTTTCTAGATTATCACTAAATGCCATACATTTACATTAAGTAGACTTGGACAAATTTCCGCGGAAAATTTGCGACTGCGTACATAGCATAAATTAATACCACGCTGAAAAAAGTATTTCTACAGTATCTTTATATGGAGCTCTTCATTTAAAGCCGCTTCATCCGAAACAGGCACATATTATCTTAAACAATAAAAGTATATCATTACATAGATAATATATAAAAATTTATAATAAGATTGATTTAATAGTTTATTACAACAATTCTTACATGGAAAACATAGACCAAAAACCTTGCTGACAAACAGCTGTTCCTGACGGGAAGTTAAGATCTGTTTTGAAGTCACCTTTGAAAAAAATACTTTTATCGGTTATAACTAATTATGAAGAGAATTCAAACCTGAATATTTTTTTCCATTAGTAGAATCCTAAGTCATGATATATCTTTTAAAAATTAAGAAATTAAATGAATATAATCCATAGTAATTTTTATATTAATATGCATATTTACAGAATAAAGGAAAATCAGATATTTTTAAAGATTTTTTAAAAAGGGAGTTAAGTAACAAGGGCTAGAATATTGCCCGTGTACATTTTGTTGTGGAAAAAATGCTCAGGTTTGTTCTTCATGAGTTATACATGTAAGCAATAAATTTGATTTTTCGAAGGTGATTTCACGCAATGTAAACAAAGGATTATTTTTTGTGTGACCTAACAAAAATTATTTTTTTAACTTTTGAATTTTGATATCTTTAAAAAGAAAAAGACTTTGGGGATATAATTTGACAAAAGTTGAAATAATTTATGGACAATTATTTCTCAAGAAGAAAAACGAATATCTTTTTTTAGCGATTAGAATCGGACCAAGCGGCTTTAAAGGAAGTCAAAACAGTCTGAAAATGGCCACAACCCCCAGCCCCTTTAACATTTACTGGTTTTACCTCATCACTGACATGCTGTGTGGCCTGATCTGACATCTCACCCTTCCCATACATGTGTTTCTTTGTGGAAAAGGGGGAGGTGTCCTGTTTACCAAATTCACAAGCACCATTTAGCGAGTCCAATGGAATACTGTTGTCAGAGTCAGGAGGTTCTTCATCCAGTACTGAGATGGTCTGCTCTGTGAACTTTATTATTATTCTGAAAAATGAAAGGACGAAAATTCTGACATCATAGTATTAAGTTCACACTGTGAATAACTTTATTATTATTCTGAAAAATGAAAGGATGAAAATTCCGACATCATAGTGTTAAGCTCACACTGTGAATAACTTCATTATTATTCTGAAAAATGAAAGGATGAAAATTCCGACATCATAGTGTTAAGTCACACTGTGAATTATATACAAAAGAATACATTAATCAATAAATGTTTATGAAACCATTTTAATTTTCAATAAATTTAATTTTTTGGCCAGTTTTAGGATTAAATTCAACCACAGGTAAAACTTACTGGGGAAAGTTAAACCCCTCTTGTCCATCATTTCCTTCACAGCTAACAAAGGCAAAGGGAATAGCACTCTGGTTTGGATCTATCCGGAAAGACCCTTTTAAAGAATGAAAAGATGATTGAGTTAAAATGGTCTAGAGAAAATTACCTATAATTTATGAATCTACAATTTTATTCTCAGTATGTAGCAATATGTTTCACACAAATATGAGTTAAAATGTGACAAAGTTAAGTTTTAACGCTTTATTACTGTAGAAGTACTTTTTTCCGCGTGGTATTAATTTACGCTATGTACGCGCTTACAATTTTTCCGCGGAAATTTATCCAAGCGTACTTAATATAAAAGTAAGGCACATATAGTGACAATCTAGAAAATCCGCGTAATTTTATACCCGCGGATTAAACAGAAATTGAGATTCCACGGAAATATAACCCCGTGGAAAAAAGTACGTCTACAGTATATCAAAGCTGTGCACATATAAATTGGAGAAATTGTTGTGTTTATACACACCATGAAAAAGGTAGTTCCTATATTTTTTCATTTTTATGCAGTTAACCAATGTGGCAAAAAATACTGACCACTTGAAAAGGATTAAACAATAAAGATTGACACAACGTCAGTTTCCTGTCTCACCTAGAACAGTTTTGCTGGAGATCTCTATCTGTTGTATAGGCTGATTGGAGAGGCATGACATCTGAAATCGAGCCTCTTCTAAATCCAGGATCAGTAACTCATCCCTCAGATTCTTCTGCCACCATGGCAACTTAGTGACCTCTGACCCGTTCCTCAAGTCAGGGATGGGGAACCTGTCAATACCAAAGAAAACCAGTTAACAAGACATATCACAATCATAAATGTAGGGGGAAACCAAAACCTCCAGAAAATGAATAGATTATTAATAATATTCAAGATATTTTTGGCAAAAAAGTACATATACTTTAATACTAAGTACATTGTATTCCATGCTATGATTTATACATATTCTAAATTAAAAAATATCACATCTAGCATCCCACCTGATTGTGAGTTTGGCCTCTGGACAGGTAATACTTAGATCTATTTTTGTCTCATCTGTAGTACACTCATCCTCCAAAGTTTGGGAGAAACTGTATGCAGGACCCTAAAACAGATTCAGTTCAAGTTAATTAGTGCTTCTCAACTACAGTATTTAGAAAGGGCTTCTGAGCCTGTATAATTGACTGATTTTGACTTACCCCTTATAAGGTTGTATAACTGACTGATTATGACTTACCCCTTCTGAGGTAGTATAATTGCCTGAATTTGACTTGCCCATTCTGAGGCTATATAATTGATCAATTTTAGACTTATCCCTTGTGAGGCTGTGTAATTGATTTAGACTTACCCCTTGTTGGTCTGTTTAATTGACTGTTTTTGACTTACCCTTGTGAGGCTTTGTAATTTGTTTTTCTTACCCTTTGACGCTGTGTAATTGATTTAAACTTACCCCTTGTGAGGCTGTGTAATTGATTTTGACTTACCCCTCGTGAGGCTTTTAATTGATTTTGACTTAACCCTTGTGAGGCTGTGTAATTGATTTTGACTTACCCCTTGTGGGGTTGTGTATCTGATTTTGACTTAACCCTTGTGGGGCTGTGCAATTGATTTTAGACTTACCCCTTGCGAGGCTGTGTAATTGATTTTAACTAACCCTTGTGGGGTTGTATGATTGTTTTGACTCACCCCCTGGTGGGGCTGTATTGTTTGTGCTGTAAGGCCTGTGGGGGAAGGGTTTAATCAGAGTGTTGATTCTGTCTATAATTGTCTGATTTACTGACTGATATTGACTTACCCCCTGTGAGGCCGTTTTGTTTGTGCTGTAGGGTCAGTGGGTGGAGGGTTTAATCAGAGTGTTTATTAAGGTCTTCTGTCTTCAAGGAAGACCTTCTAGTGATTCTATTGTTTCTTATTATTATTCTTTATTTTTTAAACAAAATTTTGTGCAGACGATTTCTCGTAAACTATTCGGTGGATTTCAATGAAATTTTCAGGAATTATAGCTCATTATATGAATTTTATATAAAATTCCGTTTGTTGGAAAATTCGGTACCAGTGCCAAGTTATGGGCAATTTCCTGATTTTAAAATGCATTTTTGTCTTCGAATGTTCTCGAGAACGGCTCGATATAATCACTGGAGACTTGTTAGAGAAGATAGACCATGAGTTATAGATGTGCAATTTTGCCTTCGTTTGCGTCGTCAGAACTTCCAGTTGCCACAGGAACCGAATTTAAAAAGTGCAGTTTTTCAACTTTTTTGTTTCTCAATAGTTTTCTTTGATATAATTAACGTTGATGTAGACCCTAATGGAAAGGCCTAATATATAATTTATTTTAGTATTAATCAATCCACACACTAGATATTCGCATTTAAAAATCTGAAGCGGGTCCAAGATGGCGGGGCGTCTCCTTAAACTCCGCCATTAAGCAAGTCGGGTTCTAGAAGGTCAGCTGAGCGTTTGGTTGAACGAAACTTCTACCAAAAAAATTCATGAAATGTAAAGGATTCGTTGGATTGTCAATTATATTGCATTTCTATTTCGAATTATAGTTTTAATTCGATGTTTTTACAAGTGGAAATACGATAAATACAATCTTTTGTTTTGCAACAAGGAAAACTTATCTTAAACCATAGTTACATATGCATAAGTAATAGCTTTTCAAGAAACTTGTCTGACTAAAACAATCACTATGTTTAGTTAGTATAATTTGACTCATGTTTATTTTCTACAGAGGCGTGTGACATGAATGAATAGAAGACGAAAATTAAGAAAAAAGCAAAGATTGTTTATGAAAGATGACATGAATATTCTTGTAATAAATGCAAGTTATTGAACACAAATGGTATTAGATTCCTTGACTGTCGGAGGGTATGAGATTTTCTTTTTCAGCGAAACATTCTAGCAATTTCATGAATGTGTTACCAATCGGAAGAGTCCACTTTGGGGGTAAAAAGGATACAACAATCGTGGAAAATCTTACCAAATTCACTCATAACGTTTTCTGCGAAGTAATGTATCGTGACACAACTTTAGTAGTAAACAAATGGTCTGATGTAGAAATCAACAGAAGTACAGAAATAAATAACATTGACATGCCTGCTAAGAAGTTGCATGGAATAAAAAGTTGAATACATATCGAAAAGAAGAAAGTAAGCAGTATCATTTGGTCAACAGTAATAGATTATCTCTCCTAAAAATTACTGTTTAACTCAAGTTACAATTTACGATGTGATCTTCTTGTGCAAAATCTGGCTAGATTTATTTGTTTTGAAATTGAAAAAGGCAATCTTGCGATATTCGCATTTTAAATTTGAAGCGGGTTTGCAATGGTGTAATTGGTATAGCGCTATGGATTTTGACGCTGGCGATCCAGGTTCAATCCCCCGTGTGTCTGATTTTTGAATCACTTTTTTCAGTTTGATTTTACTTTTTTTTTTGGAATCGGACGGAAGACCACTTGTTGCTCGCAACGAGTTTCATATCTAGTTCTGTCTATTATTGTCTGATTGACTGATTTTGACTTACCCCCTGTGGGGCTGTATTATTTGAGCTGTAGGGCCAGTGGGAGGAGGGTTTAATCAGAGTGTTTATTCTGTCTATAATTGTCTTATTGACTGATTTTGACTTACCCCTGTGGGGCTGTATTGTTTGAGCTGTAGTGCCAGTGGGGGGGGGGGGGTTTAATCAGAGTGTTTATTCTGTCTTTTATTGTCTGGTTTATTGACTGATTTGACTTCTCCCCTGTGGGGCTGTGTATCTTATTTTGACTCACCCCTAAGGGGCTTTATTGTTGGTGCTGTAGGGCCGGTTGGGGGGGGGTTTAATCAGAGTGTATTTTGTATATAATTGTCTGATTTATTGACTGATATTGACTTACCCCCTGTGGGGCAGTATTGTTTGTGCTGTAGGGTCGGTGGGGGGAGGGTTTAATCAGAGTGTTTATTCTGTCTATAATTGTCTGATTAATTGACTGATTTTGACTTACCCCTGGTGGGGCTGTACTGTTGTTGCTGTAGGGCCGGTGAGGGGAGTGTTTAATCAGAGTGTTTATTCTGTCTATAATTGTCACGTCAAGCTCACATTCAAGTTTGGCCAGGCTGACAGAGATCTCTGTTCTGGGTCCACTACCTGTCCTTTGAGACCTCTGAAAGAAGTAATGAAAAAAAAAACATTATCCATTTCTTTACCCCAAATGTGTTATATGCAATATATGTAATACTTTGATAAAACTTTGCTTCTTTTAATTAATCACATAGTCTATTAATTTGAAAATATTGATTTTATTACATGACAAAACAATTCCATATTATCTGCCCAGATTTTTTTTTTTTTACAAAACGGATATCTCTTTTCTATGAAACTGACTATTTAACATACACTGTAGTGATAAAATACCGGGGTATTATTTTGAAATATGGAAAATACTTCAATAAATATTCTGATGAAATCTGTGGTTACCGAGTTTTGTTGCACTGATCGGATATGAGCTTTAAGTGCAGGTGCACCTGAGTGCATACTACTGTATAACTGGCCGGGCCTTGATGAGACATCACGAGGGAAAACCAGAAGCTACAAATAAAATCAAAACATAAAACTTATGTCCTGGTGATTTACAGCTGTCAGATCACATACACTGTAAGGTGTCATCAAAGAGTATTAACTTTCACTTTCAGTAATACAAGTGCAAATTCCTGTAAGAAAAAAAATATTAACTGTCTTCATTATGTAATTTGGGTTAATAGCTAGATTTTGTGAGTACTTAGATTACCTTCCTGGACCTCACAACATGTTGTCTTTTTATGAGATTGAACTAGCTTTAATTTGTAATGAATGAATGTAATTAGTACCGGGTATAAGAGGTATGTTGTTTTCTGTATACAAATGAATATATTCACATTTTCTGAATAAAACCTTTTTTTGGCCTCCAAAATAAAGAATTCAAATGTATAGTCCTTGTGACAAGACCTTCCCTTGGATACCATTTATCTTTACCTTTGACCTACTTTTGGAATTCTTGAAACCTTGGCAACAGCTTTTGAATGGTTGGTGCTAGAGCTTCCAGATTTCACAGGTGTATTCCTTGTGAAAAAAAAACTTTCAAAAATTGGGTACCAATAATTTTGATCTCTTGACCTTGGAGTTTGACTTGCATGTGAGAAACTTTAACCTTTGTCAAGAGTTGCCATAATGGGACATCAATTATGATCAAGTGTTTAATATCAACAACTTGTTTCGATCAGTTTTGAATGCATATGTCATTATAGAAGATATTCAGCATTAGGTCTGTTTATTCCTTATTCTTGATTTGTCTATTCCTTATTCACTAATATTTTAACTTCAAAAATGAATTAAATTGATGCTTCAATCATTTAAATCCCAGAAATGACCAGAATGCTTCTGGACAAGCAGTTTTGAACTTTTATTAAACTTTAGTAGGAAGTCAACAACCTGACATCACATTTGTTGAAGGAGGCTCCTCTAGGCTTAAGAGTAAACACTGAGATTATACCTGTACTGCTATAATTCTCTACAGTCTAAGTAGAGACAGTTTCATATTCCTTAATTTATCTTAAATCAGTTGTCTTTTGTTTTATTTTCTATGTGAAGCTTAATTGAATCTAAAATACAGTTGAACTTGGGTATCTTGAACTCTGATATCTCAGATACCATGGATATGTCAAAGTAATGTGGAAGTCCCAACCAAATATTCTTTAAGTTTTTTACATTCCATTTCTTGAATCCTTTGATATCTCAAAGTTTTTTCTCATCCCCATCAAGTTAGAGATAACGAAGTTTGACTGTAACTAGTATGAATACAGTTTAACATGGGTATCTCAAACACTGATATCTTGAATACTGTTGATATGTTGTAGTGGGTGAAATTAAGTCCCATCCACTTATTCTGTATGTATTTATCCTCAATATCTCAAATCTTTGCATATCTTGAAGTTCTTCCTTGGTCCAATCAAGTCTGAGATAATAAGATTTGACTGTATATAATCAAAGAGTAAACTTAAAGATTGTTTTGTGAACTCATTGGAATTTCCATAATTTTACTTTCTTGCATAAACCAGTATTACTAAAACATCCAAGTCAGTCACTACATGTAGTACGTGTGACAAAGAATAAGGATCATATGCCAAGTTAAATGCAAAAATAGGTTTTTAAGACATGACGGCACAAAATATGCCCCCCCCCCCTTCCAATTAAAAAAGCAATATGACCTTGTTCAAGGGTGTTAAAATGCAAAAGGTCTAGCTTGTATCAAGGATAAGAAATAAACAACTTTTCTATGTTCTTATATCAAAATGTCTTCTGTGTACACCCCAGCTAGGTATAGCAATTCAGGAAATAGATCCTTTGTAAGTAAAGTATCTGAATCGTGCCAAAAGCCACTCGTCTATCATCCCAACACATCACCACATTTATATTGTGTCACCTTAACTTGCATTGTGACAAAATGAAGTGTCGGGGAAGATGATTCACAGTAAATGAAGTTTTATGAAAAGCGGAAAGTATCAAGTAAACCAATCAAGGATGTTCAGCAGAAATTAATAAAGAGCTATAAACAATAATAAAGAGAAGCCTTATCATTACCATCAGATATATGTTTTACAGGAAGTTGATTTCTCATGAGGCATTATCTCAATTTTGCATCATCAAACCAAGTTCATTGTTAAAAATATTTCTTCGAAATACTAAAATGTATTGCGGACTATGACAGTTTTATGGATAATTGTCCAAAGTTCCACCAGATTTTCCTGTAATGACCACTTCATCGGCCCCTGGTGGCTCGACAAATTCTTATTTACCTCTGTGGAGCCAGGTAAGAGTTCACCTGTATTTGTTAAATTCTTATACTGATATCATGCAGGTATATATATTGATCGCGGTCACTCAGGTATGACCGCAGTCAGCCATGTTTATTACGTAGGCAGGTATTTCTGAGTCAGACGTTTATTTTGGTTTATTTCTTACACAGGTGTGTTTTTCATTCACACAATTTCAAATTTTCTTGAAAAAAAAATACAATCCCTTTTTTGGGAGTCAAAATGATTCACAAAATTGAGAAACAAAGGAAAAGTCAGTGAAATTCTGAAAGTTGGATGTTAAAATTTGTGCAGAAAGTGTAGACGGAATTTCTCGACAATACACCTTGAGGACGACAATACAGCCCAGGTAAGTCTGTTATAAATAACCTTCAGGTCATGGTATACATGTGTAAACAACAATTAGGCCAAAATATCAATTAGGCAACAATATACACTGGAAGATGACCATCATTACAATGTGAAAGCAGATGAATATACTGACACAATTTTACAACTCTGCCATTAAATTTCATTTGGGTTCCTAAATCAATTTGAATGTGTGGCATCAAAAGTTTACTAGTAATACATAGAGTCTGCTTCTTGTCAACTTTTCCTTACAATATTAAAAACAAAGAATGTACCTGTGTCTAAAACATGTTGTAGTCTAGCTGTCTTGAACTTTCTTGAATTCTTCAGCTAAATACTAAAATCATACTTGTTACGAAAGTATATATGCTAAGAAATAACTTTTGTAGTTAAGTTGAATTGTCTTCAAACATATGATCTGTGATTGTCAATTCTTAATTGAATACAGTCTTGCAATTTCAAATACCTAAGATCTTCATATCCTCGAACATTCTTTAAATGTCTGCATATATTTAGAATTAGTTATATAGGTGAATGTATATTGAGGTAATCTGGGTGTGGATAAGTCCCATTCATTAAAAGTACTGTCACTGAAGGAAACAAGTGCAAGCTTGTACTGTCTAAACATTCTTGAGTTCAGTTTATTGATATAAAATTCTCTCAGTCCTTTTGCACCCAAACAATCCTTAATCCCAATTTAATAGTCAACAAATGTGCTGTCTCAAGCACCTCAAACAAAACAAAAAATGATGAAACTAGTCATTACAGTTGTTCTATTGCCTTGTACGTCATACATGTAATTTCACTAGTACAAGAATAAAGGTATGTTTTTTTATCAGAGTAATATTAAACATGTTGGAAATACAGGAATTTACATTATACAGTGTTGCCCTAGCTGTAGAGATATAAATTCCTAATTGTTACTTTCAGTATTAATTAGTCATCAGCTAATTGAGTGACTGTCATTAAAGTTAGAAGTGACAGAAATTTTTCTAAGATGAAGTGACACTCAAAAAGAGCACAGCAAGAGATTAATTAAAAAGTTAATAAAGAAAACATAGTAGATTATAGCTTACAATCAGCCCGGGCCCAAACACAATTAAACCAGTAAATTAAGTGACTGACGCTTATTAAATGTATAACAAATTAGAGATATATCAATCACAAAAGAATGGCATAAATCCCTCTTATCCTGAATTCTTAAGTGCTATTTTTGTTGGTACCTTAAGTCCCTGAATTACATATACGTGGAATGTGTGAAGGAGAAATGAGGTAAGAGAATAATGACCTACACCCCTATTGCCTGTACAGGTATGATATAAGTAAGATAGGTGTCCGACATCTTCTGTGCAATATATGTCTGTCGGAAATACACGTCTAACAACTTAATAATGTGTCAATTATTTTGCATTAATAAATTTGTGATTCAGATGAATGATAAACTAATAAAAGAAAAATATTTATTATGCTCTCTCTCTCTCTCTCTCTGAATCTCTCTCTCTTATTTATTTAATAATTCATATTTTTAAATGATTAAAAAGTCATTGTTTGCCATTTTGTAACTCAGATTTAATTTTCACAGGATGAACAGTGCCTTGGTGGTTATAATCCTTCTGCTGCAAGTAGGATACACCCTGTCACAATCATGTCCTACAACAGACTGCACTTGTGAAACTGTGTCCTCATCAACTAAACGAATAATCAGATGTCGTGACCTCAATGCCATGCCAACTTTTACCTCATCTGCAGAGTTATTTCAGAAACTGGATCTAGATGCAGAAAGTAATAATATACAAGTGCTTCAAGCCAATGCTTTTCAAGGAATTCGTGTGGAAGAAATTGACATAACTGGTGCAAATATTCGATTACAGAGTATTCATCAGATGGCCTTTTCTGGATTACAACAAGATCTGAAAACCATCAGGCTGCGGGGAGATACATCATTGCCACCCCCTTTCGACCAAATGCAAAACTTGACAAACCTCCAGGAAGTTCAGCTGGAATTTTTCAATATGCCGAGAATTGAAAGAAGTTCCAAATTTAATTATTTTCCTAATCTGCTCACGTTGCGGTTGCGAAACATGCAGACAACTTTTGTGTCTGCTGAATCATTCACAGGTCAGTTACAATTGATAAAACGCTTTGAATTTGAAAACAACAATGTTCCAACTTTTCCACAACCCGCAATCAATAGGCTGCGCACTTTGGAACATCTCTCATGGCTTCATAATGGAATGGAAACCATACCATCTGGATCATTTAGATCTCTTAGCAATCTTATTGAACTGGACTTGAGAGGAAACCGGATTGCTTTACTAGATTATGGATGTTTCGATGGAATAACAGAAAAAATGGAGTTTTTGGCTCTCCATATTAATAAACTAAATGAACGCAACATCCTACCATTGGGTAATTATTCATGGCCCAAGCTAGAACAGCTTAACCTTGGTCATATGCAAACAGAGTTTCAAGACATTCCTTCTGGATTGTTCAAAAACATGCCAAAACTAGCCAACCTAATGCTGCCAGGCAATAAGTTAAGGCAGATAAAAAGTAATGACTTTGAAGGACTTGGAAATATGCACTCTCTGGACTTGTCTGAAAATTATATAAATACTATTCATAAAGGAGCACTTGCTCACATGCCACTTCTTGATACTCTTGATATACGAGCCCAGTATGATGTAAGTGCCAGCAATCCGCTTAACTTCAGCTTGGACATCTTCAATGGGACAGAACAAGCTATCAAGACTCTTTTTATACAGGACAACCATCTGATAGAACAACATGCTTGGGATGCTATTGGAGCCATGAAGAATCTGATAAACCTTGACATTTCTAAAACAAAACTGTCTAACATACCGTCTTTAGTTTTCTACAGTCATAAGCAACTGGGGAGCCTTCAAATGCAGAGTAACAATATTGAGGTGCTAAGGCAAGAGTCTCTGTATGGACTAAAAGACTCTCTGGAAACCATTAATATTGGTTCCAATAAAATAAATGTAATTGATGAATGTGTCTTCAAAGGATTTAGCAAACTGAAGTTTGTTTTTGCAACAGGAAATCTTCTTGCTTGTAATTGCAATCTCTATGGTTTGTACCAGTTTCTCAGACAAATTTCCGGTGGATTTACACAAGTACCATGTAGTTCTCCACTAGATTTAGCAAACAGAGAGCTCTCGTCCTTGGCGACGTCTGAATTTTGCACCAGTTTGCCTACGTTAGCTGCATGTCCAGAGTTCACGACGACAACAGTTCCCCCCAGCACCACGACTATAACAACCACATCCCTCCCCGTACCAGACGTCAAGGTAGTCATTACAAATGTTATCGAAAACACAATAGTCCTCTCCTGGACCGTCACTGGGAACATGACATACCTGAAAAATTTCCGGGTGCAGTACAATCAGCTAGGAGTGGATAATCCAGAGATCAAAACTTTCCCCCTAGACAAATCAAAACGAGATCATCCAATATCTGGACTTAAACCTGCATCCAGATATCAGATATGTTTCTATGTTGATCTGACTGATCTGACACAGAAGTTAATAGGATGTTTTACACAACAGACAAAACCAGGCGGAGTTTTTCCAGTGACAACACCACCATATAATGAACCTAACACTGGTTCAGACGATAACACTGGTACTATAGTTGGGGGAGTGCTGGGAGGGTTTTTGTTCATTGCCCTCGTTGTTTTAATCTTCGTACTCTACGTCATCTGGCAAAGGCAGAAGAAAGAAAAAGAGAAACCCCCTCCACTGCCCCCACCAACTGGCATAACGCCCATTGCCATCAACCAACACCGTCCAACAAGTCAACCCAAAGTGTACATCCGAAAAGCAAATGGTGAATTGGAGGTCATGACTATATCCAATGGAATTAGTAGTGACAGTTCTCGTTTCTCTGCTGGAAGTTACCAAAATGTTGACCTGAACGCTGTAAGCAGTGACCCCTACCCAACCAAAGGGGCCACAGGGGGTGGGGCAAGTGCAGAAAGAACAGAGCCCTATAAACAACAGCATGTAAAGCTGCCTCCTGAACAGAAGCCCAATGGAACATTCCAGGATAAACCTCGTTACACTCAAATGCCGGGAATGTCTCCACATCCGAAGACTCACTACATCAACGAGGTCAACAGAATGGCAGAGAGGGACCACTACTCAAATGCTGTGGAAACACGGCCATTACCACAGACCCCTAACAGTCAACCAATATCCACTATTTCTGGAGGGGGGTTCCTAAATCATGGATTTTCCTCAAGTCCAACAGAGACTCACTCAGTGTATAATGAAATTGACCCTAATAATACAGGAACAGTGGTGTGATGTGAAAATAAAGTGATATGCGTATCTGTGTCATAAAGAAAAGCATCAAAGAGACCCTGATTTACCAGTGGACCAGACAGTGCACAATTAAAGTGTCCATGGTAACAAGGGAACTAATTCTACAAGCTTTTAATCATTAAGAATTGTCATTAGTGTGATTTCAGTTGGATACTTTACATTTAATGTGCTGATTCAAAGTGATATCTACTGATTAAAAGGCATTACTCCTTGTCAAATATCTTCCATAGTAAACAGAAATAAATGACAGAAGTGGCTGTATGCCATTAACATTACTCCAATAATCAGAAAGCAACACTCAATACATTATATTCTGTGTGTCTTTCATATTGTTAAGACTGAGCTAGAATCTATGTTTTTAACATTATCTTTGTATTTTTAATTCTCCTATTTAGACAGATTTTTATTCCATAGGCATTATACATATCAAATAACCCCTTTTCAGAGTCATTTCAAAGTGTATATTGAAGTCATTTAAAAATTACTTATAACAAGGGGTTTTTTTATTCTTGTTTTTAAACCGAACTGTTGCTTTAAGTTTAATCTTTTCCTATTGAATGATAGCATAATAAAACAAAACTATAAAACTTGACCCTATATTGACATGAACTTCTCATCTTTGCAAGAGGAGCATCAAAAAACCAAATATTGTCATGCAAGGGGTCCAGCCTAATTTACATTGCAAAGTCGTATTTTACTTTGCAACCGAAAAAATGGCGGAGTCGAAGCGGAGACTTGAAAGAAGGTCAGTAAACATCACGAATTATTTAATGATTAGAGCATTTAATTCGGTATCAAAATATGTCGTTTCAGTGAAGCATTTATTTGTCTCTTTAGGGGATGCTTTTGGATATGCACGAATTACATAACAAAAAAATCTATTGAACTAAAATGACACGCCTTGCATTATCAGATTCGATACGTGTGTCATCATACAAGTATAAATACTGTCTTTTACCAGAGTACCTGTTGAATGGTCAATAAGAGAAATTCATATCATGTATTACACCAAGACTCCTTATTCAAACATGACTTTCTGTGACAAAATGAAAAAAAATTGTCTTAATTCCAAAAATAAAGGGAGTATAGGAAATATTTCATTTGCAAACCGCGGTATAGGACTTGTTGTCCTGTGCAAATCACTTTGCTATATAAACAATACAGAAATTCACCATCTCAAGGATTACAAAAACGAAAATTACATTTGACATGTTTTCATTTAATCTGTGCATAAGTTTCGAGGTATTGCTTCTTTTAAAACTGTTTTAATAACCGTTCAGATTTATCTACAAATGCAGTAAGATTATTAATTACCAGCAAATATTTTCTTCCACAATACCAAGTGACGCAGTAGGACAGTATACTTGTAATCATTATGGGAAGTCTTTTAGAACCAAGGAAAAGTAATTTGTGTAAATTCCTTCTAATGTGAAATCTAAAGACAACAGTGCTGCCAGGAACTTGTAACACCCCCCTCCCCCCCCCAAAAAAAAAATCTTGCTCTCTTTTGGAATTATGCTTTCGGGCTCGTACATGTAGTACGTGTGTGTGTGGGGGGGTGTTTCTAAGCCCATATGTTATTTTTCTGTTGTAGATTAACAATGTTGGAATCTCTCTCTCCCCAATTTTTTAACGTTGCCATGGGATTGACTTCTGAATATCATTCTTATTACTTTTGAAAAAGTTTGGGGGGGGGGGGGAGAGAGAGAAAGAATTCTAACCATTTTGAGAAAGTTTATACAAAGTTATCTTTTTTCAGTCACCAAATGTTTAAATTCTTTCTTCATACACATGAAACATTTTTAATTTCGTTTTAAAGGTTTTTGCAGTTTATCTATGTCATTGTATAATGTGTATAAATGAAATATCTAAGACCCATTCTATAGAACGTATTACGGTATAGCAAATTTCAAAGATTTTATTTCTAAAACAAATATATGTCCAGATTCTAATACACTGTACATGCAAATTATACAGATTCAACTATCAAAACGTTTATTCCAGTTCACAGTATATATTGACAAGTAAAATTTAATACATGAAATAATTTGGTACGATGAAAGAAAATTACAGTTACTGTTATAAAATTATCATCTGACATCTTACAATGTATACCACTACAATTTATAACAATTTTCGTCGTAAAAATAAATTATTATACCTATAAAAATTGAATTTCACTAGTTAATGAGTTACAGCGCAAGAAAAAATTGCTGATTTTCTATACACCCTGTACAGTTTCTTTTCCAATACACCCACTCTCAATGGTGATGGAATGTGAGATCCGTGGACCGCAATCCACCCGACTGCGAACAGTCTAAATGTTCTATGAAACTTGCATATGCCCTAGCCTTGTCCAGAACCCCCCCTTTTTTTTCGAGCGTTTCAAAGCCAATCTCTAGAAAAAAAAAATTCAAAAAGTACATCACAGCAAAGGAGAAGCAAACAAAAAATACACCCCCCCCCCTCACTATAAAATGATAGGATTTACAGTGTACACACCATTTAAATTATGCTGGTTGACATGTCATTTTCATCGTGGAAAGCAAACAATTTATTTGCAAACACTATGTCATGCTATGTCACGGCCAGTACTTTGGACGAAGAGGCATTTTGAATTTTCAATATACTAATGTTCTAAATCACAGAGCTGCAAAGTAAACATGTCCTAATATCAACTTTGCAAAGTAATTTTAATCCTAAAGTCGTAAATTGTGGATTAAATTTCTAAAGCTGACTTTTTGTGAATGGAAATTGTGTTTTTCTAATATTTTACTGAAAAATTTACAAATATATGTAATTTTCACAGCTTTGGACTGTATAGTATTCTACAATTAGCCGATGATTGGTTATGAATGCGACAAACAAAAGGCACATGCCTATTGTTTTTCTTCAATAATTTTTTCATCTTAAAGTAAATCGCTTTAGCTTAGTTTTCCCGTTGGAAAGGATAGATAGGCGCACCGAAATGTAATTCATTTATCAAAATTGATAATTATAGTTCCTAAAATTACACAAAAAATACTGACCTCATTTGCTTCTCCGCTTCGAATCCGCCATTTTTTCGGTTGCAAAGTATAATTAGACTTTGCAAAGTAAATTAGGCTGGACCCCTTGTCATGACCACATGGATTTTTAAAATTATTTTACATGAGCTTTTTGTCATAAATATATTGTTATTCAATACCATTATTAAGTTTAATAAGTGCTATATGTTACTGTTTTAGTTAGTAGTCAACTATGTAATGGATATTATATACATGTACTTCCTTCATGTATAATTATGCACTGCATATTCTATATTATATATACATGTATTGTACATGGAATATAGAAATGAAATATTGTTTAGCTATAGTTGTTACATGTCCTTTTATGCACAAAATGGAGTTAGTTTTCTTTGTACATGCAAATATTCCATGCCAGAGATCCTTGCATTGGAGTAAAACATATCATTAAATTTAGCTACCCAAATTATAGAATATACATACATGGCAAAGATAATATACTGCATGGTTTGCACCTTCAAGGACTGATTAACACTACTGGTAGTGGCTTATTCATTAATGAGAAAAAAAAAATGAATCAGATTTTTGAAGATGTTTATTTTATTTTTTATATGTCATGTATTAGATATATAGTTATGTAAACAAGATCTGTCCATGGTCCATGGTGCTCTATGTGTATATTTGTATGGTATGTGTGATGTATGGATGAATTGCTTGATGTAAATGTATGAAGAATTTTACATGGATTTTGTGATTATAGTGTATTTATGCTAGTGGATCGCCAGAGGATTTTTAGCATACTAGAAACATTTGCTAACTGTGACTGAAAGACTTTGTAAGTAAAACTTTCGAAACTGTTAAAGCTACAACCTTATGTCCTGCACATTCCATTACTGGCTACATGCATTAAAATATCCTTGAAGATACTGTTTTACAGCTTTAAAAAGATCAAATCTCTAAAATGTTTTTTTAAAACATTTTTTTTTACTTTATATATAAATGGTTAAAAGGAATTCTGCTAAACCCAAGTAGTCATATTAGACAGGTTTACTCTTCATCAGTTTGACTGTTTATATTATTAGAAAGAGAGATGTTACAAATCAATATGAATAATAAAACTATATCTGTTATAGATAAAGATGTATGCATGTACCTGAATGACCATAATGTGCTGTATTGATCTCTTTTAACTCCCCCCCCCCCCTCCCCCTTTTTCCCATTGTGATAGAAAACTTTTCTTATGCATTCCAAATTATAAAGTCAGTCCATAAAATTATGCATTTTGTAATTCTATATTTTTATCTACAAATTTTGTTGATTAAAATGTATAAAATTTTAAAATTCTTTACTTTTGTAATATGTGATTATTGAAGATATCAGCTTCTTGAGAAAATGGACATATACCTATTAAAACATTCAGAAATTATTCTATGACAGTTTTTTTTTCTCCATTTGACTTCTGATGGTAATTTGGGGGTTGTATCTTTTAGTCTTAAATAATCTAATGATGTCATTGGAGAAACCAGTTGTTAAATCACATACAGCTTTCTTCAAGTATTCTCTTAACACTGAGGAATACCATTGTAGCTATACAGCTATGAAGTCACGCTAGGACAGAGGTCACACTAAAATTTACATGATTTATCCCCTAATGACATCTGTCCGAAGATATGCATCATATTTTAAATGTTGCCCCTAGGGCCAATACAAAAAAAAAATCGGATCAGCAAGTGTATAGGGCTCCTCTGTCCAGACCAAGCGTCAGGCTACCTGAGGGACATGGAATTTATTGAGTGACAAATTACCCAGGGTTGGGTAGTCCATACATAAAAGGTGCTAACTGACCATGTCATGACATTAAGATTTGATGATACACATGTTATTTTACAAGTTGTTAATATGGTCATCTGGTGCCCAGCCAGAGTCAAAATAAAATCCCGTAAATCATTAAGCCAATACCGTAATACACAAATCATCTTCCCGATCCGATATTCTTATCTATATAGTATTTGGGACACCAGCATGAGGGGAGGTTGTAAATATGGCTACTACGCATATTGATAAAGTCCCATTTACTGGAAAATCCAATGAGTCAACGTATATGTTTACCTTGCTAAAATCAATACAAAGGTTATAAAATCAAATCAAGCTACCAGCTATGTCTAATGAACCTTCTGTTCTAAAAAAAAATTATCTTCATAAGTGAAGGTCGAGGTAATATGAGTCAGACTGAGGATATGGGCGTCGTCTATCTTTTACCTCTCATTCAGCATTATGTTTAAACATCGGCCTGCACTTGACCAGATTTTCTTGGCCATTAAATTTTCTGACCGACTCCTTCACTGACATAAAGAAACCT